GATCTGCTGCATCCTGACATCTCTGAAGACAGATTAAGAGAACATGTTGACTACTGTGTCAGAAACTCTAGTCCTGGACCTCATGTGTTCCTGCTGGTCCTACAGCTTGAAGGCTTCACAGAGGAGAAGAGACAGAGACTGCAGTCAGTCCTTGAACTCTTCAGTGATGGATCATTTGATCATTCACTGGTTCTGTTATCAACACCCAGAGAGAAGAGTTCAGGTCTCATAGAAAATTACATGCAACGTCCACTGTTGGGAGACCTGTTCAGTAAATGTCAACACAGGTTGTTGTGGCAGACAAATCTTGAACGTCCGGAGTTGTTAACAGTCATGGGCCAAATTGTGAAGGAGAACAATGGAGATCATGTGACGTGTGATGTGTTTGAGGACGCAAAGGCTGATTTACCTGGTGGTCATGGAAGTCTGAAACAAGGGGGAGCAGTCATTGCCAACTTGGATCCTGTTAGAACTGTTGGTAGGTTGAGCAGCAGTTTTTATCACCTAATGAATATAAATTATCCTTAATTAAGCTTCAACATAATGTTACTGTGAAAGTAATTTCAGCTGGTGTTATTTTTGTTCAGTTTGCTTCAGTTTGGAATTCTTCAACTTTTTACTGAAGACACACAGTGCCTTTTCAATCTGGTGTGTGGTGCTAGCCAGAGTTGAAGAACGTAGCTTATATAGTATTTTGGTTTATTGTGTGTCTTGTTTTTATTATGTATTGTATTTTAAGTTAACTGTTAGTCTGCTTTTGTCTTGTTTACCGTTCTCTTATGCACTCTGTTACTATGAGTTTTTAAAAAAAGTGCTATATAAATAAACTTGATTTGATTGTAATTGTCTTTTACAGGGTTGTCTGCTATAGGTTCAGCAAAAAGCCGTGCTGCTGACCGTGAGTAGACTTGCAAAACACCAGTATATGAAGTCAGACATCTAAAAGGTGAAGTTCATGTACTGATGAGTTTGTCTTTGAACAGTGCTCAGATGGATGTTCACATCACACACTCCGTCACCAGTGGACAGCAGAATCAAACAGTGTAAGTGAATTAAATACATCTTCTACTTAAATTATTGCCTTCAGTAAATTAATCACAAAAACATTTTCAGTGCTGTCAGAGGTGAGTATAAGGGCTACAGTAAAACAGCTTTCAAATAAAGGACCTAGAAGTAGGAGTTGCTGCAATTTTATGAACATGTTTAACAGTTCTAACACCTTTTAACATTTCAACACATTTAACACTAACATTTGTATGAAAGTTAGTGGGGAAGCTCACCTCTATTTCAGTGGGAACAATGAGTTTGTGTCTTTGATGCGCATAGGCGGCTGATACGGGGATGCGCTGAAGAGAGGAACAAACGTAAATCATCCTCTACCTGTAGCCTTGAGCGGTGCTTGCTTTTAATCATGGTCAGTACAGAAAATCCGCACTCACAGAGGTAGGTGGAGGTGAAAGGAATGAGCACTTTGACAGCTTTACTGGAGAGGTGTGGGAACTCGCTCACCACAGACAGCCAAAACCGTGCAAGCGGCAATTTAGCTTTCTTTTCTTCTCCTTTACAAAAATGTTTCGCGCCTCCCCTGATGTACTCTGGCGCCCCCCAGGGGAGGCGCGCCTCACACTTTGAAAAAGCCTGTTATGGAGGAAAACCCCAGCGGCCTTCTGCCTTGGCCAGTTGAGGTGAGTGCATAGAGGAGGGAGAAAAGAAAAGAAAAGCAGCAAACACAACAATAAACAATCAAACACTGGGCTGGTTGATGTGGCCGGTGACTGCTCATCAGAGACATAGAGCTCCAGAGCCAGGGCAACCTGCAGAAAGGTACAGGGAGAGAGTTGGGGGGGGGCACTGCAGGAGAGAGGAGACAATGTTAATGACATGTAATGGTGGCATATAGATGCAAGGAGAGGGAAGGCTCAGGGTCACCTGATCCAGCCCTAACTATAAGCTTTATCAAAAAGGAACGTCTTAAGTCTAATCTTAAAGGTAGAGAGGGTGTCCGCCTCCCGAACTGAGACTGGGAGTTGGTTCCATAGGAGAGGAGCTTGATAGCTAAAGGCTCTGCCTCCCATTCTACTTCTGTGGACTCTAGGAACCACAAGTAAACCTGCACTCTGAGAGCAAAGTGCTGATGAAGCTCTATGAGGTCTTTAAGATACGATGGAGCCTTGTCATTAAGGGCTTTGTATGTTAGGAGAAGGATTTTAAATTCTATTCTGAATTTTACAGGGAGCCAGTGGAGAGAAACTAATATGAGAGAGATATGATCTCTCTTGCTAGTTCCTGTCAGTACTCTGGCTTTCAGCATCACTTTGAGACCGGATGCTCCTGATTTTGTCAATATTGTGCAGGTGAAAGAAGGCAGTTTTCAAAACTTGGTTTATGTGTAAATTAAAGAACATATCCTGGTCAAAATTTACTCCAAGGTTCCTCATAGCAGTACTGGAGGCTAGAGCTGTGTCATCTACAGTAACTGTATGTGGTTAGATAGCAGATTTCTAAGGTTTTCAGTATCCCATCACATGTTTGTCTGAGGTTTTCTATGTGAGCTTCTTGGATGAGAAGGGCTTTTCCATCATTTGAGAGAAATTGCTATGCTTGTAACCAGGGATGCACTGATACCAATACCAGTATCGGGAATCAGGTCCGATACCACCCTCTAGTACTGTACCTGTGACTTGTAAAAGTTGCTCAATACTACACACCGATAGCACTTAACGGCAGCATTACTGTACATTAGCCTGATGCTGGCTGAGCTGCTTGTTAGACCGTGGAGAAGAAACTTCAGTGGTTTGTGGATATTTTAAGATGAGTGACAAGGACAAAAGTAAAGCTGACTGAGAGCTCTGATCCTCTGTTACAGGGAGGGAGGGTGTGTGTCTGTGGATGCACACACATATGACAAGGTACCGTAGTCGATATTTTTCTATGACAACAATGCTTGATATGTGCAACAAAATCCAGCAGCAGTGGAGACAAAGGTTATACTGTACACTTGTTGAACAAGCTGAACACAACAAAAAACCTGCAGAAATGTGGCATCTTCACTCTCCCCGTGGCAGACCTGCCTCGTCCCGTTCACCCACTAAACCCACCCGGTGCTCATTCTGCTGACTGTAGTGAACAGATGAGAATGAGAAAAATCTAGTGCTCATTTTATGTAGTTCAATATTCACTTCAGTGTCATTTTCCTGAGTACTTGCATACACACAAAAAAAAAAATTAAATAGTGTTTCTCACCAGCTCAGTGCATTTATAGTCCTGAATGCTTGTGGGGAAAAAGCTGTTCATCATCCTGTTGGATCTGGAGTAGATGCTTCTGTTCCTTTTCCCAGATGGCAAGAGGGAAAACTTAACGTCTCCTTCTGCACATACGGTCTGTTGTTATCATTCGGCATCGACCCTCACAGACCAGTAACACTAAACATGGAGGAGAGCGACGACAGCGACGGGGTCAGTGGAGAGACCAGGACGTTTCACATGTGGTGGACATTTATAGAGAAGCTTCTGATCAGGCCAAACTGGAAGGAACATGTTGTAACCCAGCAGCTTGGGAGGAAACTGGGCCATTTGACCATCGCACACACCACCTGGTTATTATTCTTGTGCGCACATGGCTCACATTTCAGTTACATCTGTGTACGTGTGGCAGTTTAAGAGCTCAGTGGTGCTCACACTGGAGCTGGGTACATGGCGCTGACATACACGGGTGGGAAGCAGCAACAAAACAAGGTCAGAGCTGAGCGTTAAGGGCAGTGACGTGGCTGTACCATATGTTTATTACTGATTCTATCTTGAACTCTTGCATATTATACAGTGATACTAGAACTTACTGGTAGATTTTGTCAGCCCTACAAAGTCACAGTGAGGAGGATCTGCTGTGTGTTTGTTACACTTAATTTCTAACAAAGAGGTACTGCTTCTCGGAGAAATTTCACTGCAGGTGTGATCAAACAAGTTTCTTGGTGCTGATGGAGACATGGAGCTAAACTGCATCTCACGCTTATTTCTTAAGCAAGCTACCTTCTGAGTAACAATTTATGAAACTGAATGCTGCAACAACCGGGAACTGTCTGTTCTGTCTATATCATGGGAAGTTTTCTAACAGCACCCTGCAGTGTTTAGTCAAGTCCCTGTTAACCTAGATCGAATCATCTAGGTTGAAGTGTTTAATAGTGTACAATGCTGCGTGTTCTTGAAGTTACCACTAGGGACACTACTGTTATAATGCCATTTCCTGTGGGGTCATGGGAAAAGTTGTGCTTCCTGAGTTCCTGTTTCTACTGCTGTGTTGCTACTGATCACGGAGTAAAGTATTGCTGTTGAATCTGGGCCAGTAATCTAGCCTGATTACTGGCCGTCCAACACGACATACTGTAGGTCTATATTAAACACAACTGACACAACTCTCACTCTTTAAAAAGGTTTACTTACTGTGTGTCACAATAGCCAAACAAATGCATTCATAAGCACATGCAGGTCTGTGCACGCACACAATTTAGAAGTGAATAGTATGATTTTTTTTTGATAGGCAGAGTGTACGCTTAAATGGAAGTGTGCCAGATACGACATGGTATATATCCTATATCAAACGATTATTGTCAAGGGTTAAACAGTTTGTGAGTGCACAGGATTTTTAAAAATCTTTTGTCATTTCACAAAATTTCATCTTTCACAAAATGTTTTGTCATATTGATTATTGTAATTCCTTGTATGTGGGTATAAATCGGTCCTCTCTGGACCGTGCAGTCAATCCAGAATGCTGTTGCCCATTTGCTTACCAGTGCTCATAAGCATTCTATTCCATTCCATTCCAACTTTATTTATAAAGCACTAAAACAGCCGAGGTGCACCAAAGTGCTGTACAGTGTAAATAACGGTGCGGTGGGTAGAGCAGTTGTCTCCCAACCAGAAGGTTGAGGGTTCGAATCTCGGTGCCTGCAGTCCACGTGTCGAAGTGTCCTTGGGCAAGACACTGAACCCCCCAAGTTCCCCGCGATGGTGGCGCATATGCACGCAGCGGCCCTCGGCTCCGAACAAAATTTTGTTGTACGTGTCACAGTGTTACAATGACAATAAATAAAAAAGCTTCTTCTAAATATACATTAAAAATAAACACAACTTACAAGTACAGATAAAATCAACACCAATATAAAATGTCAAAACGCCAATGAGAATAAATGAGTTTTCAAAAGGGACTTAAAAACAGGCAAAGAAGAGTGAAAAAAAACTAGATTTCTAGGTCGAAGACATTTCGCCTCTCATCCAAGAGGCTTCATCAGTTCTGACTGACTGGTGTTGAGCCAGAGATATTTATCCCCCTCGTGGTGTTTCAGTCCTTTGAAGGCCAACAATGTCCCTTAATGACTGAGTCGTTATAGCCCAGTAACGGTGAGAGTCATTACCTGTCTTTGAATCCTCCCGTCAACCGACGCCTATTGTCCTGGTGGGCATGTTTGGGCAGAGATCTCAAAACAGGATTGTAGATGGAAGACAAGTTGTGTCTTAGTCCACCACCCCTGTTTAGTGAGGGGTGTTCTATTTTTACAAAAATAGCTTCCTTAACTCCTCTCTCAAACCAGCGATGTTCTCTGGAGAGGATCTGGACTTCACTGTCCTCAAAAGAATGTCTTAAATAGGCTTGTCTGATGGGCAGCGGCAAATCATTCCATTGCTTGGGAGCAGCAGTCGCAAAGGCACGATCACTTCTAAGCTTGCGCTTTGTTCTGGGCACACTCAAAAGAAACTGATTAGCTGACCTCAAAGAATGCATAGGCATATGCCAGTGAAGCAAGTCAGATAAATAGGAAGGTGCAAAACCATGAAGGGATTTAAAAACGAATAATAAAATTTTATAGTGGATCCTAAGATAAACAGGTAACCAGTGCAAGGAAGCCAAAACTGGAGAAATGTGCTCATATTTACTTATACTTATAAAAGACGTGCTGCAGGATTTTGGACCATCTGGAGGCGAGTGATGGAGGACTCTCCAATCCCCAGATAAAATGCATTGCAGTAATCCAGTCGGGTGGTGATAAAAGCATGAATAAGGTAAGTGTTTCAAAGTGCCATCTAGAGACCATTGGCTTCTGGTTGAGCAGGTGATGTGCTGTCTGACCATTGGTTTCTGGTTGAGCAGGTGATGTGCTGTCTGTATTTGGGCAGTTCGTGGGTGAGATTAGCCTTGTTAAAGTCCCCTAGAACAATGAGTGGAGAGTCGGGATGGTCTGGCTCCACGCTAGTTATCCATTCTGCCAGGAGCCGTAGCGCACTACCATTTGCTTGTGGTTTTATGTACACTCCAATTAGAATGAAACTGTTAAATTCATGGGGAGAGTAAAAAGGTTTGCAATTGATAGCAAGAGTCTCTAGGTCTGTGTTACATGTCCTCTGTAGCACTGTGACATCTGTGCACCAACCTTCATTTATGTAGAAGCAGATTCCACCGCCTCTTGTTTTCCTGGACAGCTCCGTTATGCGATCCGCTCTGTACACCTGGAAGCCCGGTACTTCTGCCTGCCTTTGCCATTGTTAGTTCTGGTAAACTGTTTTGGTGACTGTAAAATCGGTAACAATCTGCAAGGCAGCTTTTTTGCCATGGTGACGTGTCCTTTTGAGTATTAATGAATGACTTTGGTTCCACTCACCAGCCAACTCTGAAATGTTACCAGTTTTTTTCTGTTTGTTGTTTTACAGTGTCGGTGTTTAGGATTGTGCTGGTGGGGAAGGATGGCGCCAAAAAGACAAAACTTGCTAACTTCATCACTGAAGATCAAGGATTTCATTTCAAGATAGAAACATCAGTCCAACAATGTGTGGCCACCAGTGGAGAGTGGAGAGGCAACTCTGTGATAGTAGTAAAAGCCCCAGACATGTTCAGTCTGTCTGAGCAGATGGTGAGAAGCCAAGTGAAGAGCTGCGTGCGTTTGTGCCCACCAGGTCCAGATGTTCTGCTGCTAGTGAAACCCTCCAAGTTCAGCGCAGAGAACAAACAGAGGCTGGAGTTCATCCTGAGTTTGTTTGCTCCAGATGCTTTTAAACGCTCACTGGTCGTCATGACAGACAAGGAGAGTAAACAAAGTTCCACTATGAATCAGCTGCTGGAAGAATGTGGAGGACGACAGTACAACATGTTTGAAAGTCACCGTGAACAATTAATGCAGAAGATTGAGAAGATTGTGGATCAAAACCAAGGAGCCTTCCTCTCCGCTGAGGAGCCCATGAGACCAAAACCAGCTTTAAATCTGGTTGTGTGTGGGAGGGGAGGAGCAGGGAAGACCTCAGCAGCCAAGGCCATTTTAGGTCAGACAGAGCTTTCCTCAGTATCCAACTCCCCAGAGTGTGTTAAACATCAGGCAGAGGTGTGTGAATGTCGGGTTTCCCTGGTGCAGCTACCTGCCTTGTATGGAAAACCTCTGATAGCCGTGATGGAGGAATCACTCAAGTGTATCTCCCTCTGTGGTCCTGAGGGCGTCCATGCCTTCCTCCTGGTCCTACCTGTGGGTCCCCTCACTGATGATGACAAGGGAGAGTTAGAGACCATCCGGGAAACGTTTGGCTCTCGAGTCAGGGACTTCACCATGATTTTGTTCACTGTGGAGTCAGATCCTACAGCTCCAGCTGTTGTTGACTTTGTAAAAAAGAGCAGAGACATCCAGGAGCTCAGTCAGAGCTGTGGAGGAAGATGTGTTGTTCTCAGCATCAAGGAGGGGCAGCAGGTCTCTGAGCTGCTCCGCACTGTGGACATGATCAGCACTGAAGGATCCAGGTGCTTCACACAGGACATGTTCTCCAGGGCTCAGATGGAGAAGTTTATAAATCTCAAAGCTGAATTGAGTCTAAAACATAAAAATGAGATGGAAACCACTGACAGAATTCAGAGCAGAGAGTCTCTCAGGATGGTGCTGATTGGGAAGACTGGCAGTGGGAAGACTGCAACAGCAAATACAATTTTGGGTGAAACACATTTTATATCTAAACCCAGCCAGAAGTCTATCACCAAGTTTTGCCAGAAAGCCTCAGGAGCAATTGACGGGCAGCCTGTGGTCGTGGTTGACACCCCTGGCTTGTTTGATACAACTCTGTCTAATGATGAAGTTGAAGAGGAGCTGGTGAAATGCATCAGCATGTTGGCTCCTGGACCCCATGTGATCTTATTGGTGCTGCAGATCGGTCGATTCACACGGGAGGAAAAAGAAACTGTGGAGCTGATCAAGAAATATTTTGGCAAGAAATCAGGAAATTACATTATTGTTACATTCACCAGAGGAGATGAACTAAAGGATCAAACATTTGAGAGTTACCTGACAGAAGACTGTGATGACATTGTCATAAAACTGTTACATGACTGTGGAGACAGGTACCATGTCTTCAATAATAATGATCTGAAGGATCGTACTCAGGTCAGCGAGCTGCTGACAAAGGTCAGGTCCATGGTGAAGGAGAACGGAGGCAGCTGCTACACCAGCGAGATGTTCCAGGAGGCCGAGGCTGCAATTAAACATGAGATAGAGAGGATCCTGAAGGAGAAGGAAGAAGAGATGCAGAGGCAGAAGGAAGAGCTTGAACAAAAACATGAGGAAAAAATACAAGCGATGAACAAAAGAATGGAAGAAGAGAGAGCAGAAATTGAAGAGGAGAGAAAACTGAGAAAAAAACAACTTGAAGAAATGAAGGAAAACATCAACAAGGAGCGTGAGGAGAGAAAGAAGGAACAGGAATTGAGAGAAGGAGAAGACATGAAGAGGAAAGAGCAGGATCAACTTAAACGACGGGAGTGGGAACAGGAACGAGAAACTTTGGAGAAAAAAATCAAGTCAGAATCAGAAGAAAAAGAAACAATTGACAGAAAACTGGAGCAGAGTAGAAAAGAGATGGAAGAAAAACGAGAAGCCTGGGAGAAGGAAAGAAAAGAGTGGTGGGAGAAACGACATCAAGAAGATGAAGAAGAAGACAGGAAGCGGATAGAGCAGGAAAAACTTCAACAACAGAAGTGGGAACATGAACGGGAAAATTTGGAGAAAAAAATCAAGTCAGAATCAGAGAGAAAACAAACCATTGACAGAAAACTGGAACAGGTTAAAAAAGAGATGGAAGAAAAACGAGAAGCCTGGGAGAAGGAAAGAAAAGATTGGTGGGAGAAACGACATCAAGAGGGTGAAGAGAGACAACAGGAGGAAAAGAGAAGAGTTAGAAAACTCCAAGATGAATATGAGCAGGAACGAGAAAAATATGAAGAGAAAAGAAAAGAAGAAGATAAACTCAGACGAGAACAAGAGGAGAAGGAGAGGAAAGAATTAGAGGAAAAGTATAAGAAAGACATGGATGACATGAAGAAGAGTTATGAGGAGGAGGCCAGGAAACAGGCTGAAGAATTCAATGAGTTCAGAAAGAAGTACACCAAAGATTTTGCAGCTCTGGTAGAAAAACACATGGAGGAAATAAAGGAGCTAAAGCTGCGACATGAGAGACAGATGCAAGAGACAGAAGGGAGACACAGTAAAGAGTATGATCTGTTAGGAAATCTGTCGAATCACAAAGAAAAACAACTCAAAGAAGAAATTGATAACTTGAAGAACAAGCATGATCGAGAAATAAAAGATTTGAAAGAACAAGCCAAGAGCAGATGTACCATAATGTGATTGACTGTCACTGCCCAGCTGTTGATCATCGTGACTTTGTTGTCCTATCAGCTACTCTGCACACTGAGTTTATATGGTACGTATATGGTACTGTAGCGACATGCAGTGCAGTGCAACAATCTGACAGTCAGGAGTGAGTTAATCTTTCTGGAGGACACGATCATTTTGTCACCACTACTGACATAAATGGGGCGGACAAAATATTAGAAACACCTTAGCTAGGTGTATGTGTACTGGCAGCATGTTCTCATTCAGTGCATTGAATTACAACAAATTAACCCCTCCCCTTCACATCTCTGCTCCTATAAAGCGTATCTATATTCTGTATGGTGGCCTGGTTCACTCTTTAGTAATTTTAGGAGCCAGAAATGAAACTGAGCTCCGTCAGAGCTGTGGAGGAAGATCTGTTGTCCTCAACATCCAGGTCAGGCAACAGAGATGTGGGATATTGTGGACAAGGTGAGAGATGATGGCTCACAAAGGGCATGTTCATCAAGCTTCAGATGCAGAGGGCTGTAGAGCTGTAAATATGGGTCCCGGGGAGAACCAAAAAGCCCAAGAAACACAGGCCATAACAGCAGAACTGGCCTCTGATGATCTGGCATCAGAAATAACCTTACAAGAAGGGCTGCAGGAAACTATTGAACAAATTGTCTCTTTTCAGTTAGAATTCCCACAAGAACAGCAAGAGGAGCGGGGAGAGAGAGGAAAATAAAATGCTATGGCAAAATGCATAAAGTAGACAGTTAAGATGTTTAGTAAGTAAGGATATGTGTGTGTGTGTGTGTGTTTGAAATAATCATTAGTGAATGTGTAAGAATGAAATGAGAAAGGATTGTATTGAAAAAAACAATGAAAAGTGATTTTACATCTAGAATCTAAATCCAAGGAGTGAAAAATGCTGAATCATAGAAAAAACAGAAGTAAGACACATCCATACAAAAAGAGGTTATGAAGGGCATGTTCATTAAGCTTCAGATGCAGATGGCTGTAGAGCAGGAGCACACACATTTAATATGCACCTTAACTGCAGGATGTCCAAGAGAAAAGAGAGCTGGGAGGGAATGATGAGGACCATAACAGGAAGCTTCTCAGGCTGGTGCAGACTGGGAAAACTGGCAGTGGGAGTAAAACTGGGGGCAAAGAATATTTTAATTCAGCTTCACAACTTAAGATGGAAATCTCATATCAGACATGTTCAGCATAAAATAGCAAAAAATATATCGATTCTAGCAAGGGTTACAGTCTTATGCAAAAGTTTAGGCACCCCTTGATAAATAACAGATTTTGGTGATTTTTTATTTGAACAGATGTTAACACAGTTTCTCTTGGAAATGGAAAAAATGCACAATATTTTCTGCAAACAGTGATGCATAGTTACTTCTTATGCCATAAATTGAACAAAAATAAAAAATAAAAACATGATTATGGCATGGTGCAAAAGTTTGGGCACCCTAAGAGTTCCAGAGTCTCAAAGTCTCTCACAAGGTTTCAGACCTTAATCAGCTCGTTAGATCTGATGCACAGCAACAGCTGTCATTGGTAAATGCCAATTTCAAAGCTGTACAAATACCTTGACTCTTCAAACCTTGTGCACACACTTGTGGACACCCAGCAACCATGGGTTCCTCTAAGCAGCTGTGTAAGACCCTGAAAATGAAAGTTATTGATGCCCACAATGCAGGAGAAGGCTACAAGAAGATAGCAAAGCGTTGTCAGCTTGCAGTTTCCACAGTAAGAAATGTAATTAAGAGATGGCAGATCAGGGGAACTGTGGAGGTCAAGATGAGATCTGGAAGACCAAGAAAACTCTCGGACAGAACTGCTCGTATGCTGGTCAGAAAGACAAATCAAAACCCCCATTTGACTGCAAAAAACCTGCAGGAAGATTTAGCAGACTCAGGAGTGGTGGTGCACCGTTCCACTGTGCAGCGATGCTTGCACAGACAAGGCCTTCATGGAAGAGTCAGCAGAAGAAAACCTTATCTGCGTCCCCATCATAAAATCCAACGTCTGAAGTATGCAACAGGACATCTACAGAAGCCCGATGCGTTTTGGAAACAAGTGCTGTGGACTGATGAAGTTAAAATAGAACTCTTTGGACACAATCAGCAAAGGCATGTTTGGAGAAAAAAAGGAGCAGCATTTCATGAAAAGAACACCTGGCCAACTATTAAGCATGGGGGTGGATCTATCATGCTCTGGGGTTGTGTTGCAGCCAGTGGCACAGGAAACATTGCACGGGTGGAGGGAAGAATGGATTCCACTAAATACCAGCAAATTCTGGAAGCAAACATCACACCATCTGTAAAAAAGCTGAAGCTGAAAAGAGGATGGCTTCTACAACAGGACAATGATCCTAAACATACCTCGAAATCCACTATGGAATACCTCAAGAGACGCAGGCTGAAGGTTTTGGAATGGCCATCACAGTCCCCTGATTTAAACATCATTGAAAATTTGTGGGTAGATCTTAAAAGAGCTGTGCATGCAAGACGACCAAAGAATATTACAGAACTAGAAGCCTTTTGCAAGGAAGAATGGGAGAAGATCCCAAGTACAAGAATTGAAAGACTTTTAGCTGGCTATGAAAAGCGTTTGCAAGCTGTGATATCTGCCAGAGGAGGTGTTACTAAGTACTGATTGTGTAGGGTGCCCAAACTTTTGCACCATGCCATAATAATGTTTTTATTTTTTATTTTTGTTCAATTTATGGCATAAGAAGTAACTATGCATCACTGTTTGCAGAAAATATTGTGCATTTTTTCCATTTCCAAGAGAAACTGTGTTAACATCTGTTCAAATAAAAAATCACCAAAATCTGTTATGTATCAAGGGGTGCCTAAACTTTTGCATAAGACTGTAGATGTATGCTGGACGTCAAAGCACTTCACATTCTGTACTCTTCTTTGATTTTACCATACTTAGAGTATGGTGTTGAAAACTGGGGAAATACATACAAAAGCTCACTTCAACCATTGTATATATTACAAAAAAGAGCGATAAGAATTGTGCATAAGATGGGGTACAGGGATCACACCAATGTAGTTTTCATACAGTCCAAATTGTTAAAATTCTTTGACTTGGTGGATTATAAGACTGCTGTGTTTATGTTTAAGGCCAGGAATGATTTATTACCTGGTAGAATCCAAACGTTATTTAATGAAAGGGAAGGGGGATATAATTTAAGGGGTCAGTTAAATCTAAAAGTTCATGCTATACGTACAACCAAAAAAAGATTTTGTGTTTCTATAAGTGGGGTAAAACTATGGAATAATTTAAGTGATGACATGAAAAATTGTACAAGAATTGAGGAGTTTAAACTTAAATATAAAAATATGTGTCTCTCCAGTTACATGCAAGAATAATAGATTAAATTAAGAATACATTAATGATCTGTTTAAATTTTCTATATGTTAGTGCTTGTGTGGTGTAATAGATAATTAGCCAAGAATGTACTTAAGTTTGAATATTAATATTCTGCATTTATTCTCTTAATATTATTTGTGTGGTGTAGAACAGGATTTTTATATCGAGATTCTGCTTGCAACCATTGATGATAAGATGATGTTAAGGGGTAGGACTAGATAAGTCTAACTTCTTCCTACTCCGTTCAAGCATGTACTATGTAAATTGATAATGGTATTTGTTGATATGTGTGAAATTATGTGTTGATTGTCCTTATATGCTTGAAAGAATAAATCAAATCAAATCAAATCAAGATCAGTGAGTCTGCAAGTATCAGTGTACTGTGTGTCAGTGTACTGTAGTAGTAGTAGTATCACTGTCATTCTATTAGCATGTAGTTAAACTCACATCAGCAGAAGTGTGTAAACTGGTTAATGGTCCAGTCTGGACCAGTGTGCCGTAATACTGAATGTAAACTATGTTTCAGTAAATCTGAAGTCCTGAGTTTACATTAGCTTTTACTGTGAGAATTGATTTTTACATGTGTATGAATATTTCTCTGTGGACACGGGAGAATTTTGTATAATGTTTTATTGATTTCCTTTTTTATGAACAGATATTATTTTATTTTTTCTGTTTTCCAGCTCAGCAAAATCAACTAAAACAATAAAACTAAACTAACTGGGACTGATCTGTTCAGTACGTTTCATGTATAAAATCAATATTGTGTTTTTCAACTAATCACAAGTGAAGATATAAGCATTTTATTTTTTGTATATAGCAATGTTTTCCTATGAGATCATAAAATAAATCTTATTTTAGTCGTCATGTTGACACAAAATGAATTTTGCAGATGTTTGTATTTCAGCGGAGGGATAAATCACAAACTGTTCCGCTAAAGACGAGCCTCCCTCAGTCAGTGCTGCTGTTGATGCTGGTTCAGTTTTATCCTGTGTCACAGACCATAGACAGGACTCCCTGTGAGGACAGAGCTGTCAGCAGTCCAGCAGACCCTTGCAGCACTGAGGCTGCCTCTGCATCACCACAGACCGCAGCCTCCGGAAGCCACTGAGCTGAACCAGCAGCTCTGACACTCAGCTCCACAGAGAGCCACGCACAGGTGGAGTCTGATGCATGGTGCGTTTCGTGTGTTTCTCCAGCACCTGTGTGGTCACAGCCTCCGTATCAACTGATGAGCCTGGTTTGTTCAACTTCACTGCAGCAGTCTCCTGTGTCGCTACTGATGAGTCCAACAGGTGACGCTCTGACACCAATCTGGTGAATCAGGTGAAACCACCTGTGTAAGTAGGTCTGGATGTCCTGTGTCATCAGAACTATGGCCCAGTGTGAATGAGGTAGAAACGTCCCCCACCATTGTGACAGATCATAGAGCAATTACACTGAGACTAAATGTCAGTAACATCTGGATCAGTAGAAAACATCTGGCTCACTGGAAGCTTAATAATGCTCTTTTAGATAAACAGTTGACCTCAGTGAAAAGTTCTGGAAGATTGCTGTAGTGTATAGTGATTATGGAAAATACTGGGAATTTTTTAAATTTGAAATCAGAAAATTGGCAATTCTTATGTCAAAAATATTAAGTTGAAAAGAGGTTCATGGTAGAAAAGATAATTATCCATATTTCAGTTCTAATTATGGACATTTAGAAAGTGGTTCTTCCTGTGCTGTTACAGCTGTGGTTACTTGGAATTAGGCAGGTGTTTAAATAACAGGAGCAGCTGATTCTGGCAGCAAAGGCCTCAAAGTGAGGACACAAAGTCAGATGCAGTGAAAATGAATAACATCCCTGTGATTTCACAAAAGTATTTTCACTTGAAATTCCTGTTTGTATGATTATTTGCCGTCTGTTGTCCTGTACTGTTTAAACCTCGTGGGCAACTTGAAAACACGTTTCCAGAAATTAACCCGTATTCAACAAACTAACCAAACTCAACACAACAGTCCTGTAACAATGAGCAGCTTTGTGGTCATGTTTGTAACATGAAACAGCAGCCAAATGGCTACACTGACCAGAGCACACACCAAAAACCTGTGATAACCCTTGTAAGAACGCATGAAAACAAATAAACTAAACAAACTTTGTAGGTGTGTGGATTTGGCACAGTGGGAAGCCACTGCCTGTTCTACGTGTCTTTGAGGGAAATGAAGCCCAAATTCTAAGTTACCTTGCCTTGTTGGTGAGTGGTTGTCTGTCTCTGAAGGTGAATCCCCTAATTGCACCCATGCTTCTGTAAGATTCGAGTCTTATAGACTCTAGTTACTTTGTCAGCTTTAGTTACTTCTCATACCTGTAGTTCCTTTTAGTTATCTTTCAT